CATTTTTCAATTGACTTTTGTTGAAGAAGCCAGTAAATTCTCCGCCAAAATCTGAATGCAGACACTGTTTGGGTATTCTGATAGTGACGCACCAGAATACAATAGACTGGGGCGGATGGGTAAATCAAGCATTTTTTTCCAGTGTATGGCCAGCTTTAAGTAGTTGTCACCTGCTGATCATGGCTCAACACTGCAGACCAAGTTATCCTGCAGTGCACATCTGCCCAAATTGGGGGAGGTAAATGGGCTGCTGGACATTCAGGAACCCATTCACACCATAGCAGTACTCTGCAATTAACTCACCCTGTTGCACTACGCACCGAGCGTGCAATACTTTACACTAAGTTTGTTGTGCAATAGGGAGGTGCGATAAGCGTACGTTACTATGTGCTAGGTGCATTGTGCAATAGCGTGTGTTCTACTGTTTTTCTTTTTTTTTACCTTCAGTCTGTCTGCACTACTCAGGATCATGCTCAAGATTTGGACTACAGTAAATTCTGTTTTTATCTGTTGTAATTGCTTGCTCAGAGCTGCCTGTGCCAGTGGGCTCCTGCTCATTGTACTAATCCATTGTGTGTCCTGCTAGTTCATTGTCTGTTGCACCTTTTTACACACTGAACTCCATAACAGCATCCTATGGGGAGAACCCTTGGGGGGCAGATTTAAAACTTTCTTCAAAATCCACTTTAGATTTATTGACAACCCTGTGGTTGACCTAGTTGTTGGTAAATGTAAAGTACATTTTACATTAAGATTGAACTATGGTCAGCTTAATCAGGTAACATGAGCAGTCATAGAAGAACACATATGAAAGATAAAAATGAAGCCGTTTCTGCCGGGAAATTTAGTGGCTTTAGTTTAGTGGAAGAGGCAAGACTATTCTGCTGCATATAATATTCCAGCACTATGGGTAAACTAGATAAAGTAAGAGATACAGTGTACAGAAAATGCCACAATGTTCATATCCCAAACTTTTCATCACTGCCCAACGCCATGACTGGCCATTGAAATAAACAAATTCTGAATATCTATATCTGCATAAGGCTTGGTTTGCCTCCCCGACGTGACAGTACTCAGACCCAACACCTGGTTGCTCAGGCACCAAGTCCCACATTGTGAGAATGTACATGTGTGCCCCATAC